AGCTTTCAACATCTATCTTACGATAAAGGTCAATCTCGGAAGCAGCCTGGCAAGAGGGCGCGGCAACAGCGGGGCTGCCGAACATGCAGGCTCAGCCGCCTTAATCCCAGTGACTTATGGAAGAGTGCCTTGTGTATATTGATGCCGCCCCATCACTTGCCCTATCTCTAAGAAAAGAAAAAAAAGGCAGACTGGTCTCTCTGTGCCCTGCCTCATTCGGAAGTGGTTGCATGTCAAATGAGTTTACTGCGTCCGATAACATCACCCACAACAGTAAACTGCCTGGCCATTGCAAAGCCTATGCCCCTACACCTCAAAAGCGACCGGCTGCACTTTTGCCGGAAGACATCGATGTTCTTTAGAATCTCGGAAATATGAACTCGACAAGCGCGTCCGTTATGCTAGAAGTACCCACCAAGCGACGAAAACTACATTTGGGTCAATCAGAGTTCTGTGGAGAGCGCAACCCCTGTGAGCCGGTTGCAGCCGACACGCAGGAACGCCCTCGAAACCTACTATCTCCAGAGATATGTTATGGTTCGGTAAGGAGAACCAAGAAATCATCTCTTTCGAGCGTATGGACTAAGCAGTTGTCCAGCTTGACGAAATCCCCCTCCAGCCGCCAAATGATACGGATTGCCATCACGACCTTAGCCTTCTTTCATGGGACGGCTCCAATCTTTTGACTGTTCTTGGCGGCACCGGTGCTTCCTACAAACTTCCGCGCCGAGCGATGGACATTTTCCAAACCCTCACAGACTAGGCGAACGTACAAATAGATGTACGTCTGCATGTGTCCGATCCCGAGCCGCCCAAAGGCTTGAAGCGACGCATTGAAGAAGTCAACGATGATACAACACCGCTCTTATCAGCCACTGCTAATCTTTACGGACCCCGCGGGTCGTCCGCCTCAGTGAGTGCGTTCTTACAGAGTTGTCATGCGTTTTTGCAGGCTCCGGACCGATGCACATACGACGTGCCGTACGTCAACCCTCAATGCCTTTCATTTCTGGACGACGATGTAGTCTTGACCTCTGCGTTCAACGCCGATTCCAATTTGCCGGTAGCCGGCGGCGACGACCATGGTAATGGATTGTTCGACGAACTCGGGAATGACGAAGAGTTCGAAGAAGCTCCGCAGCCAAGACTAGTACGGTCTCGGCTCAAAGGGTTAGTCTGAATCACCGGGACAACCTCGGAACCTGACGACTAAATTTCCAATTCTCAGATACCAAAAGCAAGGCCTTCGATTTCTCCTTGATCGAGAGCAGGGATGGGACCTCGGCGGGAAACGGGAAGACGTCTAGAAATCCTACAAAGATAGGTTTGGTTGGTCAAGGTAAGTCGTTCTAATCCACTATTGCTATCAAACCACTGGTCTAAATATCACAGATACAAAAACAACATTAACGGGCTCACACAAGGCGAACCTCCAAAAGATTTTCGTGGGGGGATTTTAGCCGACGAGATGGGCCTTGCAAAGACGCTCACGATGCTGGCGCTGACTGCAGCGGCGAGAGATCCAACAGCAAAATGTACCTGTCAGGTTGGAGAGGAGTCATTCGAAACCCAGAAGCCCTTTGGAACACTGATCGTTGTTCCCTTGTCACGTACGTAAGCCTTCCATATGTGATCATCAGGGCTATTTGCTGAAAGAAGAAAAGTGCTGGTTGTCTGGGATGATCAGATCGAGGAGTAAGTGAACTCGGGTCAGGTTTTGCGTCGCTATCAAAATCTTGACTAATTAACGGGCACAGACATATGGCACCCGAATTCAAACGATTGACATACCATGGAGCCACTCGCAAATCCTCTAGGGCACGATTCAGTCAATATGATTGTGTCATCACGACTTACAATGTCGTTGCTGCTGAATGGAAAGACTTCAAAGAGGTCCCGACCAGAAAGATCTTCCAGACCGAATCTCATAACGTCAAAATGGCATCGTGTGATTTTAGACGAAGGTCTATATTCCATTGATAGGGTCCGAACAATGTGAAGATGTTACTAACACTAAAGCAGCCCACATGATCAGATCACCAGATACACAGAATGCGAAGGCAGTCTGCGCCCTTGATGCAGCGCATCGATGGTGTATTACAGGCACACCGTTACAAAATAGAACACAGGACATTTTCAGTCTGTTGAAGTTCCTGAGAGTTTACCCGTACGACAGTTTCAAGGTCTTCGACCGAGACATTACCAAGCCTTGCAAAGTGCAGGTAGAGGAGAGAGGTCTCCAAATGCTTCGCAAATTGATGCGTATGGTAACTCTTCATCGCGGCAAAAAGGTTATTGAGCTTCCGACGCTGCAAGAAGCAATCGAAGAAGTCGAAATGACACCCGCTGAGCAGTCCATGTACGAAGAAGCACGAGACGGGACTCGCCGATTCATCAAAGATGTCTTATATTCCCAAGGACCGGCTCAGGGGTCTTCCTACATCAACGCGTTTCGCAGGGTAAACAAAATGAGGTACATCTGCAACCACGGTATCCAACACCGGGACAGGCGCCTCCACCCGAACCAATCTTCTGAGGCGGATGATGAATCTGGGGGAAGAGTAAATGAATTAGATCATATCCTGGACAACCTAGACGAAGCATGCTTTCTCTGCGGAACAGATGTGACTGACGCTCAGGAATCCTGTGCGATGAGTGGGATTCCGACCAGCGTGGAAGATAATCAGCAACGCATTTGTGTGGGATGCTCTCGACAGAAGCTACAGTTACCGAACAACGATGTTGACGATCCAGTCACCCCGCGACTTGAGACCACGCCAGCGGATACGGAGCCTTTGCTGCCAAGCAAGGTTGAAGCAATCGCCTCGTATGTGAAGCGCATACCTGCAGGAGAGAAGTGGTGAGTTCGTCTTAAGGGGAAAAGAGTTTTGCAATATGCTGAAATCATTTTCATTAGCGTGATCTTCTCATTCTGGACATCTACGTTGGACATTATGCAGCGTGCCCTTACCAATTGCGGCATTTCCAGCTGTCGCTACCAGGGAGACATGAAGTATGCAGTAAGGACGGAATCATTGAGGACTTTCTCGGAAGACGAGACGATCAAAGCAATTCTGATTTCCATTAGTTGTGGAGGGCAAGGGTAAGAGGCTGATCTCTATTCCCCGCCACCTGCGTGATGGGATCGTCATTACTGACCCTCATAAAAGGCTGAATTTGACAGTCGCAAACCACTGCATACTCGTCGAGCCTCAATGGAATCCGATGGTTGAGGAGCAGGCCATCGCACGTGTTCATAGACTCGGCCAGAATAATGCCGTCTCTGTTGCGAGGTTTGTCATGAAAGGCACTATCGAGCGTAAGGTTCTTGAGCGGCAGACCAGGAAGAAGGTACTGGCAGATCTGGTTCTTGGGAGAGAAAGGATCAAAGAAGGTGAAAATGGCAAGAAGCAATTGGCTGTGAGTCTTGAAGTCACTTGATCTTCGAGTCCCTACCCTTACTTACATGATGTCAGAACCTCATGCAACTGATATACTAGAAAAAATGATTAATCATTCCCACAAGGTTTGAGAAGCAAATAATCAGATGAAGCACATGTCTCGTAGTCAGGAGGCATAGCAATAAAGCCCGTGGGAATGTTGATCAGGGAGTTATTACACCAAATGCAAGAAAACGACGCAACGTCGGCGCTCGGGACTTTTCTGGGGCGCCTTTCCTGAGGGACGATATCAATGACAACTGCCAGAAACACCGCATTACCACGCATAGAAATAATCATATCAAACCGCTTTTTATTACCAAATAGAAGAAACGGCTGAGGTTGTCTTGGCAGCGGTGATCTAACAGCGCCCTCTGCGTCTCTCACGTCATATGACATCCGAAGTCCACTTACCTAAACAGGAAATAAACCACCCACCAACCAATCACAGCACAGCACACTTCACCACCAAACCGACGCTCCACCCTTCCGCACCCACGATACCCTCAAAACCCATCACAAACAAAACACCAAAAAGACATACAACACCGGGCATTCGCCAGTCGTCACCGACCTGACTACTACTCCGGCCCTCATTAGCTTATCTATGGGAGAGCGGACGGGATCCCGAGTTTTCCAATGGGTATGGTCGTATGTGGAAGAGAATCGCGTCGAGATGGTCTATATCCTGTGAGGCGGACAGACACTGTGGTCTGTGACTAATGTTGAGGCCAACTTTAGCAAGACATCCAAATTCACAAAGGCCCAAGTTGCGGTATCGGAAATCTCGGGGTGGCGGGTCCTCCAGCTGCTGCTCTGCGGAAGGACCGGGTGCGTGGAGCTCTTCATCTCGGGTTCGGGCTGATCGCTGGAGACGCCCCTGTTTCATGTCAACAAACAGTCCCCAGCTGCAAAAAAAAAATTCAAGCTCTGTTCGCTCACCTTGGGACATCTGGTTGGACAATTAGCTCCATGATCTGTGGGCTTCGTATGAATGTGCGGATATGGTCGATGAGAGGTCCAAGTGCGAAAGCCTAAGAACAGCTGCTACGGTAGGTTAGGATTATGTGAAGAGAAAGAAGTCAGTGAACGTTTTTGTTGACGGTTTTGAGCTGCAGTGCAGCCAAAAAAAAATCGCAAGTTGCGTTTTGTTCTTGTTTCCAACGACTACCATCCAGCAGCTTCAACAGCTCGTATCTCGCTGCTTTCTAAACAGAGACAAAGTAAACCAATCTCTCTTGAGGAGAGACGTCTATGCAGACAAACAAATAGACTTGAGAAAGAAAGCAAAAAGAAGAAGACGGCGAGACGAGGCTCCCATATGCAATGAAACGAAACAGCTACATCCCCACGGCACGCAATGCCCCATTCCCTCTCCTTCGATCCGCTGCGACGAAGCATTCCAGCTTGTCGTGATCAAAATGCTGCAGTTGTAATCCAATGCCAGTTACCGCTGGATCCCCGTTCAAATGCCCATACTTAACACAGAGAAGAAGAAAAAAGACCAGAGTGACCATCGACACCCCCCAACGCCAGTGTATGCAAATCCCGTGCTCAAGTCTAATCCTGGCGCTCATCCCGGTCGCTATCATCGCCACTATCGGTGAGGTCGACAGCCTTTGTTGCCTCGATCTCCGTCATCTCACGCCACGTACTCCAGCTGAGCATGCCGAAGGCGAGCATAATCATGATGCCACCAATGAGGGCCGCAGAACTGAGAGGCTCTCCAGTTCTGAACCAGTCCGTGATGGCTACGATGAAGATGGTGAGCAAGCTCGCGACGCTGGACAGGACGGGGCTTGTCAGGCTGATCAACACCAGGAAGCTGCCTGCGAAAGTGGCGTTCATGACAACACTGGCGAGGAGCATCCAAGCAGTGTAGCCCGTGGGCAGGGAGAAGGTCTCAATGCCAGTCCAGTGGAGGATAGGCAACGGGACCCAAAGGACTGTGAGAGTGAAGGCGCCAATGCAGGAACCGAAAGTGTTGGCGAAAATCATTCCGCGGCCAGGAGTAACGCCGTCTGGCGGGCAAGCAAAGCGCTTGTAGAGGACCTCGTACAGACCGTAGAGCACGGAGCCGATGCCGATGACCAGGTTGCCAGTCAGGCGCTCGCCGGCTTCCTTCTGGTGCGCAGCATCGTCGTCTCCGGGACTGGTGTCACCATATGCGACAATGAGAACGCCGGCGATAGCAACGAGCACAGCCATGGACTTGTCGAGGCGCAAAGGCTCCTTCAGCAGTGGCACAGAGAACACGTACGCGAAAAACGCAGAGCAGTTGTAGATTGCCGTCAGGTCGGAAGGCGTCGTCAAGTTGACTGCGACGTACCAGCTGAAGCCAGCAATAGTGAGAGCGGTCGTCACAAACGCTGTAGTTCTGATAAGGTAGAGCAGCGGCGACTTGCGCGAGAGCGAGTTGGGTCGTGCCCAGTCCAGGGTCTGGTTCTGGACCATGATGGCGGTGCTGTGAAGCAACTCGCGGTGGCGGCGCCAAAAGGCAGGCCAGGGAACGTTGCGCTTCTGGATGCGCAGAATCAACAACTGGACGGGCCAGAGTATAGACCAAGAGCCGTGGGTGAGGTAAAGCATGCAGTATGCCTTATTCCAACCGAGCTCCTGCTGAATATACGCCGACAACTCGGTCTGGATAACGAAGGAGAACAAGCTCAACACGAGGAAGAAGGCAGCGTAAATGTACTTCTTACGCGCGTTGGCTTTGGCTGTTGAAGGAGAGTGTGCGCGAAGCGTCGAGCCGCGGGAGAAGGTCGGTCGGTTAGGGGTCAGCAAGGGGCTGCCACCTCTCGATCGAGTAGAATAGCCATGGCGCTCGTCGTGAAGGTGATCGTCGTCGTCGGATTTTGGCTTAAGGAGAGGCTGACCAGAGCGAGAGTCGTGGTTCCGGAGGAGGGGTGGTCGTCGGTGAGTGTCACTCATGGCGTCGTCGTCGTCGTAGTCGTGTTCGAAATAATCGTCGTCGCCGTTGCGCAATGCATCAAATTCGGCCAGGCGCTGGTCGAGCCCGGGGCTCAGTCCAGGGCTACTGGTTCCGCTACCAATGTAATCGGAGATGTTGGATTCGCATGTGGTTGCGCTCGGCAGAGCAGGCGACGGATGGTTGGAGTGTCGTGGTGAACGATCGAGTCGGTGGTTGAGGGATCCGTCCGGCCCGATATTGAGTCTGGGAGGCATAAGAGGTAGATTGTAAAAGAAGGACCAAAGGGAGAGAGGGCAGAAGGGAGTATAGATAAGAACAAAAGGCTAAAAATAAGGAGGGACTTGAATGGGAATCGCTGCTGCGGGAAGCTGGCAGTCAGTGGGAGAGAGGAAACAGGCTCAGACTGGAAGACGATATGCGAGTCGTATGCGAGTCGAGGTTTGGTAGGCAAGCGTGGTGTGGATTGGTATGGACAGGCACACATTTGATAGGGACAGTGACAGTTTGGCTTGTTGGAGGACACATGTTGCTGCATTGAAGTGGATACAAGCGTGCGTACGACATGCCTGGCTCCTCAGGAAACCTCCTACCGGGCGTGGATGCTGAATACTTGGCCGAGTACTTGGGGGTCTTGGACTGTGGCAGTACACGAAAAGGGTCAAGAGCAGCCCTGCGATACGTAAGTTTTGCATGGGGGACGCACGGCGGCAGGTAGCAAATACCGTACGGGAGCAGGTACCTACCCTGAATGACGACGGGCAGGTACCCACGAGCATTGAGAGGAAGTAGCGACTAGCAAGTACCCTCCTTCCTCTGCGAGTCCGTACCTTCCACATCGCAGTTCTGTGGCTTCTAATAGGACGGGTCCACGACGCCGAGACACCGCTAACTTGGCAACTGGGCGCCGGCCGGAAGGACGGGGCTGGCGGTTGGCGCGGAAGGCCCTTCCTGGCGGTGCTGTTCTTTCTGCCCTTCCTGCTGCCCCTTCCACGTCGTGCGCTTTCCAAAGATTACAGGTCCAGCCTGGTGTGTTCCTCCCCCTCCCTCCTTCCCTTGGGTTGCCACACCACACCTCCCACACAGCACACACACACGTTCCTCCCTTCTTGCGCATTTCCGCAGACTGCAGCAGCGTGTCAGCCCGCACAGGCAACTTCCCCCCACACTTGCCAAAGCTGTCGGGTCCCTGTCTGGGGACACCAAGTCCCCAAGTGGCCCCCCTCAGTGTGCGCCGGTGCTCACTCAGTCGCTGTCGGGTCTCACCCACGGAACCCCCAGCACGCACTCACGCACACCCTCACAAACCACGCCGGGCCGCTCAAAGATTCCGCTGTGACACGCAAAATCCATGCTGCTCGTGTCTCTCCGCTCCCTCCTTTCCTCCCTCCCTCCCTTACTAGCATACCTTATTTCAAAGTCAGACACCCACACAGTCGAGGTCACGGCCGCCTCTGCCTTATCAGACCCTGCCGAATGTACGAATCAAGTACCCCAATACCACACCCTTCCACCAATTCTCGCGCCCGTCACAGGTTGCGGTCATGGCCGTCGTGACAACTGAACAACTCCGCAACTCTGTCACCTGCGTCCCCGATCTGCTGAAAATGCTCGCGCCCATGAATCCTAGCGCCAGCTGCTAGACCGCTAGCAGACCGCTGCGGCGGTACAGGCCACAGTTAGGAAGCAGTCGGGAGGGCCTCAAAAGCACCTTTACGCCATCACGCATTCAGTCGCATGACTTACATGGCCCGCTGCCACCACACGCTGACAGCCTCCAGCCCACACTCATCCCGCGCCGAAGACCACAGTAGATCCGACAGCACCCATCTAGCGATATCGTGGACCATCCACATGTGCATCGGATTTGACATCTGATAGTGCCATCTGTCCCTTTTTTCAATTTACTATATGCCATGATGCCTGCATTTCTACGGCAGTTTCCCCTTCAGATCAGAAAGCTTCCCGCCCATCGGTCCGTTTCCCGTCATCAGTCGCCTTATTTGGCCCCCGCGCTGAACAGGGCATCCCGGGTGTCGTACTTGTACTCTAGATCCAGGTGCCAGTAGTTGGTCGTGTCCGCCTTTGAGATGAGCCACGCCTGATTCAACGCCTGCACAACCTCGTCAGGCAGAGGGCCTTTCTCGAGGTGGTTCAGGTTGTCCTCGAGTTGCGCCACGCTAGAGATGCCAATGAGGATTCCATCGTTGCCGTCCTTGATCTTGAGGTTCGAGTGGTGCACCGTCCATCTCAGCGCCGTCTCAATGATGCTGAGCCCGTGTTTCTCCACCGCGGCCTCGATCGTCTGCAGCGCCTTGAACGTGCTCTCGCGGAAGTAGCGCTTGCGGTAGTTTCCGCCCGTGCCGTGGTTGTCAGAGAAGCGGCCCTCCGTCGGGACGATGTCCTTGGACTTAATCTTACCCGAGAACAGCCCGCCGGCGATGGGGTTGTACACGACAATGTCGAGTCCGTAACGGCGACAGGCCGGGATGAGCTCGGCGTCGATGCTGCGAGTAATGACGTTGTACATGCCCTGGTAAACCGTCGGGCGCACCCAGCCGTTGTACTTGCACGTCAGCACGACCTCGGCCACCTCAAAGGCAGTGAAGTTGCTCAAGCCCAGCTTGACAAACTTGCCCTGCTTGTGGAGCTTGTCAAGAGCCTCGAGCGTCTCGGCGAATGGCGTTGCGCGATCCTGTAAGCGGTCGTTAGTTGCATGCCAAGTCACACAAGCTCAAGAGCAGCTCATACCGCGGCATGGAGGTACAGAATCTTTGGATACCAGTTAGCTGAGTCCTTGCGAGAATCGGTTTCATGTCAACTCACATCAACGGAGTCGGTTCCAAGCTCCTTCAGACTGGTCTCGACAGACTCAATGACCTTGCTGCCAGCATGATCACCGGCCGAGGAAGGATACTGGACCTTCGTGGCCAGAGTCAGTCCTCTCTCCTTCCACCTAGCCTCGCGAGTGAAGGCCTCCTGCTTCCTGCCGACGTAGACGCGGGCCGTGTCGACCTCGCTGTAGCCGCGCGCCTGGAACACATCGAGGGCCTTGTTGAACGTGTCCAGATCGGTGATTCGGGCGCCGTCGGACTCGTTGGGGCCGAAGGTCATGAGACCCAGGATGATTCTATCCTTGGGGTTTGAGGCGACGAGAGGCATGGTGAAAGCTGAGGGATCCTTGAGTTGCGAGGAGCACGATAAGCCGGGAGCGATAAGAGGGGTTACCTTGGTTTGACGGGGTCTCACAAGGCAGAAAGATCAGAAGGAAATAACACACACAAGTTGTCTTTATATGAGGCTTTTTGGGTCCGATATCGATCACTGGAGTTTACAATGGTTTGGTCCGAAGAAGCGATGTCGTGATTAGATAGACTCATACGGCAGCCGTCGAAGTGGGTTACGAGAGTTCAGACCCCACCACCATGGCGGGGTAGATATGCGACAACTGAAGACGTCACGGCGCTGGGAATGGAAGCATTACTAATGGAGGACGTGCCCGGTTGGGACGAGGAGATGGAGGATCCGACGGGAAATCGGCTTTTCTTACTGGAGTGCCGAAAGAAAATAAGGCTGCCGAAAAGCTAAAGATGGGATCAGACGTCAGCCAGTTGCAGGCGAACAACGGGCCTTGGACGCGAGGAAGGACTGCCTAAGCGATTGGCAATGAGCATGACAGGAATGGGCATAGTTTCGCTTTGTTCGTGATAAGTCCGTTAAATCCTGTGTGTGTTGTCAATTGGCTGAAGCTGATGCTGATGCTGCCTAGTCTGCGTGGCTGGCCAGGACGCATAGTGGACTTTGTGGGTGACGGTTCGCAACTGGCCACCTTGGACTGATCAAAATGGCCTCATAGTTGGAGCCGATGTCTTCCATCTCTCCAAGCGCCAAGAGATGTTGCAATTGCAACGCTGGATGAAAGGTCTCTCGTCTTGTCTCACCTTCAGCTGTCAGGAGCCATTCAGCCTCCGCAGGGGCAGACTTCTCCCCCCGCCGTTTGCCAGTCGCCCTCTGGTGGCGCGCCTTCTCAAAGGAATGGAATGAACGCGAGCTCGGTCCACCCCGCATGCTGACACACGTGACCCAGTCACTGTGTTCCTTCCTTCCTCCCCCAAGCCGGGGGCCCACTCTCCCCAATGGCGCTCGGGCCATGGCAAGAGTGCTTCGCGCCTCAGGCCCCCGCGACTTTTAATTGTCTTCGCGTAGAAAGCGCGTCAACCCGCGACTTTCGCGTCCTTCCTTTCCCAACGCCTGGCAGGAGCATCCACCCGACTCTGGTCAAAGAAAATCCGTGATACCGGCCCAGCACCTCACCCCAAGCCTCACCGAGCCCTCGCCAACAACCTCACGACCACCGAACGCCACAACGTCCTCCCAGTCCCCTCGATTCCGACCGTTTTCTTCCTGGCCGTCTGCCCGAACGAACGCTGCCAAAGTGCATTCTGCACCGCTTACCCCGAGACGCCAGGGCCTGCCCCTTGCTCCACGAAGTTGACCATGGTCAAGGGCAATGCGCAGCCCGGCATCTACAGTGCTACATACAGTGGTGTAAGTCATTATTTGGGTTCAATTCACGGTTAGCTGGCCCGGCCTGGAATTCACGGTGTTGCGATTCGACTTGGCGGCTTGACTGGGCGTTTAATTCTGCGTCCAGGGGGGATAGCCTCGCCTGATATCGACATCTCGAGCGACATTCTTTGACATCGTTGTAATCTTCGTCGCAAGTTTCAACATTGCAGTTGCTGACAGGAATATTTCCTAGATCCCCGTTTACGAGTTTCAATTCGGAGATGATCTCAAAGAGCATGTTATGCGAAGGAGGCAGGATGACTGGATCAATGCAACACATATCCTGAAAGCTGCTGGGTTCGACAAGCCCGCCCGAACACGCATTCTCGAGCGAGAGGTCCAAAAGGAAAAGCACGAGAAGATTCAAGGAGGCTACGGAAAGTACCAGGGAACATGGATTCCTCTCGACAAAGGCGTGGCTCTTGCCCAACGCAACAATATCTTCGACCGTCTGCGACCGATTTTCGAGTACGTCCCGGGCGACCAGAGTCCCCCTCCCGCCCCACGACACACCAGCAAACCCAAAGCACCAAAGAAACCCGCGGTGCCCAAGTGGCCCAGTGCGAGCTTCCAGCAGCAACAGCAGCCCCCTCCGCCCACTGCCAACAGCTCAATGCAAGGCGCTACGCAACCCGAGGAGTTTGAGGCCATTGACGGCCTAATGAATGAAGACGATACCCCGGACAACCTGACTGTTGCGTCTGCCTCCTACATGGCAGAGGACGGCCGTTTCGACATGTCACACCACTCGACCGGCCACAGGAAGAGGAAGAGGGAGGAGGCTATCCAAGATATGACCCAGCAACAGCACTCTCTATACGGAGACGAGCTTTTGGACTACTTTCTTCTCTCTAGAAACGAGAAGCCAGCATACCGCCCAGAGCCGCCACCAAATTTCCAGCCAAATTGGATTATCGACTCGGAGGAACACACAGCTTTGCACTGGGCGTCGGCCATGGGTGATTTGGACGTCATCAAGCAGCTGCGTCGCTTCGGGGCGAGTCTGTCGGTGCAAAACGTGAGAGGAGAAACGCCCTTCATGCGCTCAGTACACTTCACAAATTGCTACGAGAAGCAAACGTTTCCGCAAGTGATGAAGGAACTGTTCGATACGGTTGACGCCAGAGATCATTCAGGGTGCACTGTCATTCACCATGCTGCGGTGATGAAGAACGGCAGGGTAGTCAGCCACTCATGCTCAAGATACTACCTGGACAACATTCTCAACAAACTTCAAGAAACACATGAACCTGCCTACGTGCAACAAATCATCGACGCGCAAGACAATGAGGGCAACACCGCCCTTCATCTCGCAGCACAACGGAATGCCAAGAAATGCATCAGGGCGCTTCTTGGTCGTCAGGCGTCAGCCAATATTCCCAATCACGAGGGTGTACGGGCAGAGGACCTCATCGCTCAGCTCAACGCAAGCAAGAAGGATCGCGGGCCTCAACGCTCATCCTCCCCTTTTGCGCCGGACTCTCAACGGCATGTCTCCTTCAGGGACGCCATGCCGGAGAAATTGAGCAGCAAGAAGCTCGCTCTGACTTCTTTTAACTCGGAAGCCGCCAATACGGTGCAAGCACGCATCACGCCTCTAATCATGGAGAAGTTCCAGGACCTGGCAGGCAGTTACGACGAGGAGATCCGGGAAAAGGACACGGCCGAAAAGGAAGCTCGCCGCATCCTTTCAAATACACAAGCAGAACTTAATGCTGTGCGCCAACAAATGGCCGAGCTTGAAGCACAACTTGAGGCGGACGATGGGGCTGCGCAGATCATGAGCGAGGCAACTTTGGCCAACCACCAAGTCATGTCACTCATCACGCATCAAAACCGTCTCCATGTGCAACAAGCCGTCGATCAGGAGATAAGCATGCTCAACGGCGACGTCGACGAGGCCACATATGACGACCGGCTGTCCCTGGCTCGGCAACTCCAGGCAATGCTCTCGGAGCAGAGGCAGTCAGAATCAGACTACGTCGAGGCGCTGAGCATGGTCGGCACTGGGGAGAACATTGACAAGTATCGCCGTCTGCTACGCAAATGCCTCGACCCAGCAGACGCAGAGAACCTCGACGCCAACCTGGATAACCTCATTGGAGTAATGGAGGAAGATCGCGATTTGCCATCTGACGGCCCTGAGCCCATGGACGTCGGTATGGGCATCGGCATCGGCATTGGCGGCTTGTAAGCTCGGAGCACGCTGTCATCATTACTGCCGCAGCGAGTTTTGCTCTTTCGGGAAAATGAGAGTACCCGACAGCTCGGGTTCTGGATGTTGCATGTACAAAGACCTTTTCGCGCGAGACTTTGGGACGGTTTGACCAATCTCGCCAGATTCACGAGGCCCAAAAAACAAGGAGGGGGGCGGCTTCATGGGGTTCATGTTTTGAAGGCTTGTTATTCCTTCTCGGCGTTTCAAGGCGATGATATGAGAGAGCGCGGGGGGTTCGTGGATTGGAAGGACGCATTGGATTTGATATTTGCCAGACTAAGGTAGTCTTTCTAATGTCTAGCGGGCTTCAAGGAAAGCTTCGCGATTGATGAGACTTGTTTAACATACTTTGTGTCCATTGCATTGTGCACTCGGTTTCTCCTCTCTGAAGACTCACTCCCCAAGCATCCCGTTCAATACGATGACTCGCTTCAAGGCGAGTACTAACTGTATCACTCTGTTGCCGCATCACTCGACGCGTTGTCTACCAAGACTCGTGCTCACGCGTTGTGGAGTACCGCATCACCTAAATCTCCCCGCGAAGCACAGTACTTTTCCTCCCATGCAGGCGCGTGTGCCCGGGTCTCATGGTCTATCCTTGCTCTCCGGATGATCCGCAAGACGACAACGCCCGGAAGGTGTACCCGGGAGCTTGTCCTCCTCCAGTCTCCATAATGACTCTGTGAATCATCTCGCTTCCAGGTGGGCATGGTCTCGAGCTCTGATGGCCACTGCTTGTGACTTACTGATCTGGTGCGCGACCGCCAAAGTCTAGCAGTCAGGCTGGTTCGTCGAGTGCCACCGGCAAGGCTGGCTGACCTCCTTTTTCTCACAGTCAGCTATGTCACAGGCTCGTTTCTCCCGTTCTAGACCCCCGGCGGGGATAAGGGGTAGGGACGTAGCATCTTTCCGCGGCATGGTGAGATTTGTGACTTTGCGTGCGTGGGAAATATCACCAATTCCGGGCGTCGGGGCGTCGCCAGTTTGGGAAACGTTGGAAATGAAGAGCATATCTCGCCGGTGTTTTGGCAACAATGTCAAAGTTGCGGGAGCGTTCCCCGTCTGACAACGCTCGGTGTCTGAGATATCTAGCGGAAATGCAGTACTGAGGTGTCTCTTTTGATTTCGAATCATGACTGTAGGCCGGGATGGGGTCGTCACGTCGCGGTGAAGCCCAATCGCTTCGATCCTACGTGATGACGGTGAGAATGAAGCGGAACCATGGGGAGTCTCCCCCGAAGGCTAGGGTCATCGTCCGGCTGACTCAACGGCGAGGATAACCTAGACAGGTAAGCTGGGCGTTGACGCGAAGTTCATCCTGAGGATGAAATGTTATGCTCACCGAAACTTCAGATTCAATGATGGAAAAGACCCA